AGGAGATTGGAATGCCTTCGGTCAACGCTGGAAGAAAAACTAGTCGACGATGACTGGGATGTGGCGGAAACGGATTACACTGATGACCTGGATTACAGGGTTTCGAGAATCACTGACATCATCCGTGATGCCGCTGAGGACTCTCTCCAGCACCGGAAGGCGAGAGCTAAACCTGTCCCATGGTGGACGCCGGCTTTAACCACCATGAAGAGAGAGCTCTACAAGGCCCGGCGTTCGTACCAGCGGTGTAGTTGCGATGAGAGGCGCACTACTCTTCGTGACGAGTACAGGTCTAAAGCCAGGGTATACCGAAACGAGGTGCGTCTACATAAACGTAGGTCTTGGGATGAATTCATCGTTGAGAATCATCTAAAAACCCCTGGGGTATCCCGTACAAAGTAGCCTTGGGTAAATTGACTCCAATGCAAGTAATCGCAGCGATAAAGTATGACGGTACTCAGGCAAAAACTCCAGAAGAATCGGCGAAGATGTTTATTACAGAGACTTACCCCAGGGATGATCCATCTCAAGATAATGAAGAGGAGGAGTTCGTAAGACGCACTACGGTATACCCTCCCGGCACGGACCTGTGCCCACCATGGGACATATGGGATCTTCGCACTGCCGTGGACAAGCAAAAGATTGGTCGTGCCCCCGGTTTAGACACCATTGACGCGTCAATTTTCAAGAACAGTATTCCCTATATAGAGGAAAGATTGCTGGCTATTTATAATGATTGCCTAGACAGGGAATACTTCCCAAGAATCTGGAAAATCGCTAACGTCAAGCTCATTTACAAAGGAGGAGACAAAGATAAGCAATTAGCCAAATCTTATAGACCTATATGTCTCCTCCCAGTCATGAGCAAGGTGTTAGAAAACCTGATACTCACCAGCCTACGGCCAGTCTTCTCGAGAGCGAGCCATCCACGGCAGTACGGATCCTCTAAAGGCAGGGGAACCGCAGATGCCCTGCTGAGAGTGCGCTGTGATGTCGAAGAGAAGGCGGAGAAGTATGTTATGCTCCTCCTGTTTGACATATCATCCGCCTTCGATAGCGTCTGGTGGCCGAGCGTACTCCAGCAGTTGCAAAGGTATGAAGCCCCCAGCAACTTGTATGGCTTGATCAGAAGCTATCTCCACGATAGGACATTGAAGATTAAAGGTAGCTTCTATGAAGTAGAAGATACATGGAAAGGGGCTGTCCACAGGGCTCTGTCCTTGGCCCTGCCCTATGGAAACTGGTCTTTGACGAGTTGCTGGGAGTGCTGAACAGGAGCGGTTCCCCGCCACTGCATATGTAGATGACCTGGCTGTTGTAGTGGCCTCGAATAGCAGGGCCAGATTAAAATATGAAGCTGAACGTTGTGCCAACCTTGTAGAAGAATGGTGCGAGAAAAAGAAGTTAAGGATGGCGGGTTTCAAGACTCAGGCCATCCTCTTGAGAGGTTCGACCGATAGGGCACACCCCATAACCTTGGTGATACAAGGTTCCAGAATATGTCCAAGTGAGGTAGTCACCTATCTTGGAATTAGGATTGGGAAAAAATTCAACGTGACGCCTCACTTGGATTACTTAAGGAATAGGATAACCTTAGCCCTTAATGGTCTCAGTCGCATAGGGGGGGCCTTTTGGGGCCTTAGATATCCAGCAACTATGTCCATTTATAAAGGAGTAGTTGTTGGTATCCTGAGATACGCGTCCCCCGCATGGAACCGGAATCTCTCGTACCGTCAGAAGCGCAAGTTGGCAACAATCCAGCGGATGGCCCTGCTTAGAGTAACCAGGTCATACAGAACTGTGTCCCATGAGGCGGTGCAGGTCTTAGGAGGAGGTATTCCTCTCGACCTCCTTCTGCGGGAAGACCTTTATCGGTACAACATTAAGAGGGATGACTTGGCGGATTTACCAGCAAACATTCGGGAGAGGATTTGTGATGACCCCAGAAGATGGAAGATGATCCTCCGGGAGGATACATTGGAAAATGGAATCGGCGATGGGTGACAACCCCAAACGGGTCCACACTAAGAAAATTCTTTCCCACCATTAAATCGCGCTTAGAAAAGAAATGGGTCCTCCCGGACTACTGGGTCTCACAGATCCTCACGGGGCATGGGGGTTTCAGAGCAAAACTTTTTAAACACGGTAAAAATATCGACCCCTTATGCCCCACTTGTGGAGTACCTGAAACCGCTGAGCACATCCTTGTAGCCTGCACCAGCTATGAGGCACTGAGGGCCAAATTAATGAGGGATACAGGGCTTTTCGTTCTTACAGAAGGACAATTACCCCAACTAATGTCTGAACAAAACTACCCGCACTTTAAAAGTTTCGTATGCGGCTGGAAAAAAACTGTGGGCCCAACCCACTTCTCCCTGGGAAGGCGTGAAGAAGCAGTACCTGGAAGGCCGCTAATTAGGACAGGAGAAGAAGATGGAGAACAATAACTAAGTGACAAAATTATCAAGCAGGCTGTGTGCACAGCAATTTAAAAATGTAAATAGATAAACATGCAACAGTGATTTGTTATACAATGTGTATCAAGTCACTGCTGCAAACTCCCGTATTGTCTTAAAGGCAGGGTAGGGAGGAAAATAAAATAAAATAAAAATAATAAAAGAATGGAACCCAGCAGTGGGTGACGACGCCAAAAGGGGCTACTCTGAGAAAATACTTCCCCACCGTTAGTTCGAGATTAGAACAGACGTGAGTTCTCCCTGACTCTGGGTCTCACAGTTCCTCGCGGGGTATGGGGGTTTCCGAGTAAAGCTAGTTGAATATGGTAAGAACGTTGATTTCCTATGCCCAAGTTGCAGAGTACCGGAGACGCTGAGCATATCGTGCTAGTCTGTACCTGATGCACTGTGGGCCAAGTTGTTGAGGGAGACGCGACTTTACGTTTTGGCGGAGAGCGATCTCCCTCAACTAATGACTAAAGTGAACTATCCGTACTACAAGGCCTTCGTATACGGGTGGAAGGCACTCGTTGGTCCAAACCAAATTTCTTTGGATATAAGAGATGGACCTGAATCTGAAAGGCCGCCAGAGAGGGTGGAAGACGGCTGAAAAGAAGAGCAGGTTGTGTGCACAGCTGAAAAAGAAAAAGAAAAAAATGTAAGTAATTGGTCTGAGTGCAGAAGTGAGTTGTAACTCAATGTTGCATAATACCCCTATTGTCTTACCGGCAGGGTAGGGTTTAAATAAATAAATAAGATTAGTTTAGTTTCTATTAGTTTATAAACATTTAATTTTAGTGTTATTATTTTGCTATTTACTTATTTTTTATTTATTGTACATAATGTGAGTGATCTATTCTTCCATCAGTATTATGATTGTCCTTAGATGTGACAGATTGTAATATATCTCAATAAAAAAGAAATTATATATAAAGAATAGAATAGAATTGAAAATAATTTTATCCTGGGACGAAGTCCCTTTAAAATAATAAAAAAGTACAAAATTAAAATGTTATATCTGGCCATATAAAAACAAACTTAAAAAGTAAAGATAAAGATAAATAAGTAAAAAAAATATTAGTTATACATACTAGATACAAAATTAAAAAAAAAATATGCAAAGCTTTTGAAACCTTGTACTTACACTTACACACTGAAAATTATGTACAATGAAAAATATCAATTTTTAGAAAAAAAATAAAAAAATACACTACATACTTCTTAGCAGTAAACTCTGTGTTTCTGTTGAAAAAAAGAAAAAAGAAAGTCGAATCTGATAGTAAGTATTTAGGTGATGAGCTATATGTAAATACTAATGTATTATGAATAATATGTATTATAAGTATTATTATAGTATTATTATTATGTATTATTATTAATATGTAGTGTATGTATTATTATGAATAATATGTAATTTTACATAAAAGGTTAGCAGTCAAAATCAATAAATAAGGTTAAATAGAATGTTAGGCAATTTAGATAATATCCATATATTTATGGTTTAATTAACTCATAGATTTATAAATTTTAAAAAACTTTCTTTAAATTGATACAATTAGTACAAAAAAAAAATTAAAATTATTTATATTATTTCCACAGTTAAATATAAAAAAACTTTTGTATGTAGTTCTTTTACCATTTATGTTGCTTGTTTGCTATGTGTACTACAAAACATTTTTTTTTAAGGTTTAGCTTTACAAAGGACTTTTGGGCAAATCATAACTACATTAGTGATTATTGGTTTCTTCCGTGGAATATCCCTTACATCATTTCCACTAGTTTTGACTGAATACTCATCTGGCAACAATTTTCCTTCTGTTCTTGGTTTGTGTATGGTTTCTAAAGGGATTTCGATTGTAATCTTAGGACCTCTGTCAGGTGAGTATCTACAACTTTTAATATATCTTTTATATTTACTTTTCATTCCCTTTATGGTTTAATCTACAACTATCATATAAAAAATCTTAATTATTATTAGTATTTTTTTTATACCCTAAATCAGCAGGGTCTTCACGAAGAGTAAAATATTATTGCTGATTTTGTTTTGCAACATATTTAATTTCACATTAGATAATTTTTTTTAACATATATATAAATTTTCAATTAACTTTACAAATTAATATGAACCAGGATGAGGTTTGAAAACTTCCCACTGACCCTCAAAAAATTAGATAGGTCAGGTTTTACTAGAACTCCAACTGTGAATTAAAAATATTGACTATTTTTTAATCCAATTTATGAGCTAAGTCATAAAATTACATTTACGAAGAAGTCTGGTATCTGAGAAGACAGTGTGAATTGTGTTTGCCTTGGTCATTAAAAATATACAAAGAAATAAATCAATTCATATGAAAAAAGTTGGATGTTCTGATAACCTTTTGGTAATTAAATTTGAAAATTAAATGAATAATCATATAATGAAAATTGAAAAAAATAATCATTATACATGTTTCTTAATGGTATGACAAAAAAACTTGAGAATTTTTTCCCAACATGTATCTTCATTTATTGATTTGTGACATTGTACCAAATAAAGTAGAAATAACTGATGTAATCATACTGCTCTCGAATCATAGCAATGAATTCCAAATTTTCCAAAATATGACAGAAATTGTAATGAAATAAATAAATGGAGTCTTTATTATTTTTTTAAGACAATTTGCAAGGGAAGCTGCTAATTTGTAATGGATTATTGCAGTTGTATTTGTTTTATATTTGTTAACTGTTAATTCATAGAATGTTTTAATGATCAACGCTTTATATGCTATAATCATGAAAAAAGTAACATTAATCTTTCCTATTTATCCTCCTGTAGGGAGTGGGGTAGCTCAGTGGTAGGGTACTGAGCTTCCAATGCTAAAGGTACCAGGTTTGAACCCCGGGTCATGACAGAATATTTATTTATATCTTTCATTGGCCGTGGGGCGACCCTGGGTAGGGAGACCCTCCTGGGGCACACCCAGCCTCTATAAAGAGGGTACCCTTCATTAAATAATTGATTAACGGAGAAAACCTGGCGGTTGAGCGTGATCGCGGTCAAATCACCTCCTTGCACAACCGTTGACCTAGAAACAGTGCTTTCCCTAAATAGTACTGAACCCCAGACCATTCATGGGTTGTAGTGGTACAGCTTTGATTTTATTTATCCTTTCAAAAACGTCTTTATAATGTTAAGAAGCAATGTCACAATTTTTTTTAGAAACATTAGACATTTAATTATCAAATAATAATATACTGTTTCTTTTTGTTTTGTTTTATAGTTATAATAAGCCTATTTATTCCTTTTTAAACATATGTCACTCTTTTGAAAAAATGGAGCAAACCTATGATATTGATTCATAACAAAAATATGTCAGTTCTAGTAATATTGTCTTAATGTTCTTATATTGGGATCAGGGTTTAATGATTGATAAGGGATCACCATTTCTTGACCAAAGTTTGTGAATAAATAAAAGACAAATTTATTTGATTATTGTTAGGGCTATTTATTCCCTAATTCATTATGGACCGAATAGAATGAGCAGTATTAACTACATTACTTAAAAATGGCATCTTAGCCGAAATGTAGCCACTGTGAAGGTAAAATGAAAATAAATCTGGTGAAAAATAAATACAGCCTTGATTGATATAACAAAATATAAACATACATACAAATTTATTTCATTATTGTTAGCGTATTTAATCCCCATTAGTAACAAAAAATACATAAATAGGGGACTAAAAAACACACAGGAAACATTCGTATAATTTAATTTTATTATAAATGAAAAGAGAAACAGTGAATAAAACAGAATATAAAATTGACAATAAGTTTTTGATGGGGTTATGATTTAGGTTTGTATATTTACACCTACGTATACATTTAAATATTTACTTGAATGATGAAGATTTGTAATTTAGGAGATTGTGAAATATCAAAATAATATTCCATTCAATATTAATATTCCATTCAAGGAGTGGATGGAAGAACGCAAGTTAAGGATGTCAAGAATATTGGATGTTTTTTTGTTTTCTAGTATTATTCCAATACGAGGCAATAAGCAACCAGGGTTACAAAATTTCAGGCCCGCCAAAAAATTATGTTCAAGTTGAAAATAGTGGTATGGCGAAGGTGCGCAATTTCTTGATGATTCCAAAATATGATTTGGAAGTCGATTCTCCCTTTATGTAAGCAAGTGATTCTTGTATAACCCTGAGAGGTCTGTGAATAGCAGTGCTTCGTCGATGCTTAAGCACATGTTGGTATTATAAGTAAAAAGTGGAACACTGGTTCTATCATTAAATGAAAGGATTACATTTTGTGTTTATATCTAAGAAGTGAACAAAAGCTGTGCCCCAAGAAGTTTCTCTTTAATCAATGTATGATGGATTTGTATCATCGGAATATACCAAATTGCATGCAATTGTTTGAAATATCGTAACAACTATGTTTATTTATAACTGATGTTTCAGCTGTCTTAGGATTCACTAGAAGTTCCTAATCCTGTCCAGCATATACCGTTAGGTTTCAACAAATAATACCAGTAAACCTGATATAAATATAAAAAAGATGGTTTTAATTTCTTCTCTTGTATCTAACATCAGGGAACTATTATTAATTAAGTTATAAATTGCTGGACATTAAGGGGAAACGATATTAGTTTGTCACTAATGTAGTCAAACTATCAAATTTTAACTTTTTTAAAAAGTTTTTTCTCTCAATGTCTAACTGTAGCATTGTTAGCTCGCCCCAGTGTGCGCGGTTTCGAATCCGGTCTGAGTGGGTTGAAATTATTCCTTATTATTCCCTTTGGGTCTTGGTAAACTAACTTGATTGCACTAATAAAATTTTGTAGGATTCTCCTATCTTTCAATGCATCCCATATTTTCTGTCTAGGAATATGATCAAAACCCGCCCGTGAATCTAGAAAAACTAGGTATACTGCTTTACCTCTATCCCATGCCTTCTCTACAACCATTCTCAAAGAGAAGATATAATCTTGTGTCTACCTGCCGGGCCTAAAATCTTCCTGTTCCTCTTCCACCAATTTCCTTAATCTTTGTTCCAGGACTCTAGTGTATACTTTGTATACCACCGATGACAGATATATGAGGCGGTAATTATCGCATACACTTTGGCTTCTCTTCTTATGGATTGGGATAATGATGTTGTTTACCCATTGTATGGGTATCCTTTTGCGATCCCGAACCTTTTGGAATAGTGTTTGGAGACACTTGATTAGCTCATTTCCTCCATATTTTATAAATTTGGATGCAATCCATCTAGCCCAGCGGCTTTTCTCATCTTTACTTTAGCAAGGCTGCCTTGAATTCCTCCTCTTCTATTGTGTCATCCCTGTTGGGGACTTCTGGTTCAGTTCTTCAACATCTTCTACGTCAATCTCGAAAATTTCACTGCCTTTTTTTCCATTCTGAATTTTCCTTGGAAGTATTTCCTCCAAACCTGCATTATGTCCTTGTCTTCTGTCACCAGCATGCTCATCATTTACACTTCTCACAGGCTTTGCTTTTTTTGTTCCTTAGTGCTCTTGTGGTGTGCCGAAATTTCTTTATAATTTTTATTCAGTTCTAGCCCTAATTCCTCCCAAGATTTTCTTTTCTCTTCCTTAACTATTCTCTTATACTGGTTCTTTTTCTCTATGTACAGTGCTCAATCTCCTTGCGACTTGCTTCTACAGTACTGTTTCCAGGCCTCTTTCTTTGCAGATATGACTCGTTTCACATCCTCGCTCCAACACCTAGTTTTCTTAGTAATAGTCTTATTAGTAGTAAACCACATACTTCCTCAACTGCCTTGAGTATACTGAATTTGATTCGCGCCCAAATAGTGTCATCATCTGCGTCCCCATTAACTTCTTAAAGTTGTATTTAAAGGCAAGGCGACTTGTGTAAGCCTACTCGTTTTCCTCTTCTCTTGGTTTGTTGACAGCGATCCTATTATAGGACTTGGCGATCTTTTTCCGAGGTTTTAGTATCTTGGAGTCAGAAACCAATAGCCTGTGATCCGTATTTAAATCTGCTCCTCATATAACTTTAATGTCTGTGAAGTACTGTCTGAGTTCCCTATCGATGATAAAATAATCAATGATGCTATTTGTGGTAACTCTTCCATACCTCTTTCAAATGTGATTTTATGGATCGTCTTATGGTTATACCATGAGTTTCCCACGCATAACTCAATAGCCTGATTCCATTGTTATTGATGTAATCTTCACCTCCCATATATTCATCGTTCCGAAGGCTGGTTGATGATCCCAACCTGTTCTTGCATTGAAATCTCCGGACACTACGATCGATCCATTCCGGTTCGCTGTGTTGTCTACTGTTCTCTGTAGGTCTTCATAAAACTGGCCTTTATCTACAATGGCAGAATCTTCGGTAGGGGCGAACCAGTATCATGCAACATTTCTGGTGGAGAGCACAATGTCCATAGTGATAATCCTAGATGATATGGGTCCCCAAGCTTCTACTCTATCAAATAATTATTTCTTTCAGAACAAAGCCGACACCTTCTCCGGCTCTTTGTCCCATATTAACTTCTGAAAATGTCATACTATACTCTGGGAGTTTTACCAATCCAATCCCTTTCTTCTTCACTTCACTTAGCCCGATAATATTCACCTTACATCTTTTTAGTTCATCCACCAGTTCTCTCTCCTTATCCGTAAGTGACGTTATTGTCCAATTAGCAAAACGTGAGTCCTTTTTCCTGCCTCGTCTATAACCATTTGACTGTCCGGATCCGAGGCTGCTTATATTTCTTAAAATTTCTTAAAAAAATATATTAAATAAAGCTACTTCAGAAAAAAAAACCCATAAAAATAGATTTGTATTGTAAGAAGTAGGTATAACTGACGTACCAAAAATTACACGAATCGGATACATGAAGGTTAAAAATTTATTTTCATTGAATTATTTGACATGGAATGAACCATTTATCACCTCTTCTAGTTATAATAAAATGACAACAAAACTATAAAAATATCATACTATTAATAACAATTTTATGTTTTTTTTTCCAGGATATATTCGAGACGTTACTAATAGCTATCCTTTGTTTATCCATTGCCAAACTGTTCTAATGATTTCGGTATTAATTGCTTGGATTGTAGAAATAGTCATCTTAAAGTCTAGAAAGAATAAGCAGGCAGTCCTAGATGTATTACATAGAGAAACTGAAGACAAAGTAACACTGAAAAAAGTATGATGGTAGACTTTATAGACTCTATAAAACATTATATACTCTAATGAATACAAAGTTTCTCGATAACTTATTCATCTGCAGCCTAGTCTCACTGCATAAAACAATAAGTATTAATTATATGAAATATTATTAAATAAGGACTTTGGGTCTCTGAATGAAGTGTGTTGCTACGAAAAATGTTCTCAGTAACCGTAAAGAAATCTTAAATTTAGCCAAATTATTTATTTTAAACTCATTCAATATGAATAATAAAACACTCATTAACGAAATTTAAAATGTAACAATATATTTTGTATCTTTTATAAAATGTATCTCCATTTAAAAATTTCGCTCAGAATTGGGAATTGTTTGATGAAAATTGCAATTGTAAATACGATACTATATTTTGTTTCTTGGGAAAAATGTTTATGTTATAGATAAATATCTTCTAGCTAGCGATTACAGAATTAAATTGTAAATAGTATTTTAACTACATTTAGTAGGAGTGTTGTAAAAGTATAGTGAGATTTTATTAAAAGTGTTTTGTTCAGATATTTATTTACGTCTAAGGAAAAAATACTTCCATATACTTAATGCCTTTTTGTTAATATAAAATTCACAACACGATGTTTTGGAGATCTCGCTCATCAGGGTTCCATTTTTTGATCATTATTAAATATTAATATATAGAAAGTTAAGATTATTAAATTAGTTAAATTAGAGATTTTATGTGTTATATAAATTAGGCCATTATTCACCAACATTTTATTTATTAGCTATTTTATTACAATAGCTAAAATGAACAGAATTAATATATATTATCTTTTTTAAATGTACAATTTTTGGGAAATCACATTGGTTTAATAATTCAGTCACATTATCTGAATAGCGCTATGTAACTGTTTACTGAACCAATGTGATTTACCTAGAATAAGATACTTTAAAAATAAAGAAAAAAGAAAATGCATTTCATTCATTAATTATGACTAAATATTTTTACACGGATTTCAGTTCTAGATAAAAAAAAAAGTTCAATAATCTCAAGAAAATGCTATCCTGATGATGGAAGAGACCACCGAAAAGTTGGTTTGTGAATGTTTTATTAATAACAAAACATTAGATGGAAGTATTTTTCTCACTGTATACTTAACTCTGATTTTATGGAGGTAAGAAATTTGTTATATGAATAATCGAAAAATGTAGGCAAGCATTGTGTACAAATTTTAATACAAAATGTTAACAATACGAGTTAAAGGGGGGTTTTATACACATTTTTTGTTAAAATATACGATGCGTATATTTGATAAAATATATGTCCTTTTTAATTATTATTGCGTGTTAGGTTATAGTAATTATAACATACTATTTATAGGTATATTTAAGTTATTTGTAAAGTTTACATTTATTTATTCAATATTCATGGATTTTGTTTAATATTTTTGTTGTTATTGAAATAAAATTTCTTTTTCCATATGATTATTTTTCACATCTGTGTTTAACGATAAACCTGCATTAATATGAATATAACGCTTATGAAATTCGGCTTGAAAAATAGGATTGGAATACCTGAATAAATTTTAGATCTTGATAGAAAAGCTAAATGGGTGATAAATAAATGCAAAGGAATAGCTGTTATGTTTCTGAATTTTCATGAAGGCTGTACAAGTGGTTTGTCATTTTAAGACTTATTTTTTCAAAATATTACTCTTCGGTTTCGATCAATCAAACTTTTCAAGATTTCAGCACAAAACAGAATCCATCTGAAACAGTTTTCTTAAGTTTCTCTGACAGTTCTGCACATGCGTTAGCCCTAGTTAAACATACGTCAGGTCGTCTCTTATAAAAATCTCATTTGTCAGTGGCTGCATACAAGTTTAATGTGAACAATTAGTATTATCAATTACATTAACAATTACGTTTAATACTGGACAAAAAAATAAGGCGAGTAATCACTTATTTACAACACAAGAGTGAACAGTGTAAATAGACCTTAGGTTAGTTAGATAACGGCCAGCCACATACATCGTTAATCCTACTTACTAGTGGGCTATATCCCTCCGTTGGAGGCAGATCTGTGAATTAACAAACTCACAACAGTAAAGACTTAAAAAGACTTTATTCTTACAAAGTTACATAAGTTACATCTATTGAAATATTTACAGATAGAATGAATTTCTCTAAGATTAAGGGCGGTAATATAGCCCAACTCTGGGGTGGGGATAGGATTGGCCGGAGTAGGAGAGGGGGTGATAGGCGTTATCTTGGTTTCTAGGAATGTTGAGGGCGACAACCTAAGGGTAGGATGCTGGACAAAGGATATTCAGAAGTAAAGTAATAAAACTTCTCTAAGGGCGGAAGCCTTGACAGCTGTTAGAATTAGGGCGGATGCACGTCACATAAATATACCACATGGTCAAGATGTCCACTTCCAAACGGACTTATTCCCACGGACAAGGGTCACAGGATATTATAACTCAGTGGTCAAAGCGAGCGTGCTTAATTGGAAAAAGATGTGCCTGAAACCAAGGCTACCGCAATATTCCAAGAATTGTATTTACAACGGCTATTGCCTTTTATCTTGTGCTCTCCAAGAGCGCGTCTATATTTTCGTGTTCAATAAAATTTTTTTTTTTCCTCTCTTCACTTTTATCAATTTTTCTTTTAAAAATAAATATGAAATGCGATATTATCACATGCTAATGTCGAGTAAGGGCAAAAACACTAGGTCCAGGAGCCTGGATACTACAATTAGTTCTCCCATTAAAAAAAAGACAAGGCATTCGAAAAGAAACACTCCACCAGCCACACCAGGGAGCTCCATAGAAGAAGTGGAACCCCAACCTGGCTCCTCACAACAACCCAACAATTATGAGACAACTCAAGCTATGGGTGAAGAATCGCCGTTTTTCACTTCGAATCCATTTGAAGTGCTTTCAAATATAAACAACGAACAAATGGAAGCAGCATCCATCCCCAGAGAACCCAAACCCCCACCAATATTTGTTAGAAATATTAAAAATTTTCAATTGATGTGTAATCAATTGAATAATCTGGTAGGTTCAGGAAAATATTTATGCCAAAGCCGCACCAATGACACTAAGTTAATGCCCGACACTCCAGAAACCTATAGAAAAATCATAAAATATTTATCTGACACCAAGGCTGATTACCACACGTATCAACTGCGTCAAGAGAGGGCGCTCAGGGTCGTTATCAGAAGACTGCACCCATCTACGCCAACAGATGCTATAAAAGAAGAGCTCACGGGTATGGGATTCCATGTTCGCCAGATAGTGAACATATTTAAGGAGGATAGAGAACAGCCTGGAATAAAAAATAAAATACCTCTTCCACTATTCTTCGTTGACCTTGACCGAACACCGATGTCGAAAACATCTACAAGGTCACACGCCTTTATTATACAAGCGTTGTTGTAGAAAAGCCCTACAGCAAGCGCGACATCGTTCAATGCCATAACTGCCAGGCTTATGGCCATACGAAACGGTATTGTCATCACATTCCTAGATGTGTGAGGTGTGGTGAGCAACACAAAACAGAGGACTGTAGGAAGTCTAGAACTTCACCTGCAGTATGCGCTTTATGCCACCAAGGACACCCAGCCAACTACAAGGGTTGTCAAACTTACAAAGATTTGAAAACACGAATGTACGCAACGCCTAGAGAAGAAGGGACATCCAGGCCACCAAGACAACCCTATAGAACAGTGAACGGAAGAGTGTCCTATGCTCAGATGTTCAAAGGAGACACTGTAAACACTCAATCTCAGGCCCTGCCACAAGAATCTAAACCTCAAGAATTCACACATCAACCTCAAGACCCATATCCCTCCATCCCTGAACGTAGGTTAAATACTCACACATTCATTCCTCCTCCTTCCAATTCCACTGACCTCACAAGCCTATTGACATCTTTCCTTTCCGAATTTAGATCTCTCATTACCCCCCTTATTTCGCTACTTACCAATGTTATATCCAACCTCATTCCACTGCCAAGAAATCCATAAATGTCCTCAACCAAATTCCTCTCCATTCTCCTCTGGAATGCGAATGGTATTCGGAACCACATCAACGAACTGACAATCTTATTACATGACAAAAACATCGACATAGCACTAATAACTGAAACTCGACTAACCAACAAACGACAAATCAACGTGCCCGGCTACAATATTTATCGAACCGACCATCCTGATGGAACAGCACATGGTGGCACTGCCATAATTATCCATCGATCCGTTTCCCATCATTTGTTTCCCTTACCAAGCCATAATTTCCTACAATCCACAGCCGTAATAATCCAAACACCCCTTTACCCAATAACACTAGTTGCGGCATATTCCCCACCTAAAACACCCATTTCCGAATCCCAAATAATTTCCTTCCTGAATTCCTTAGGACACCACTTCCTCCTAGGTGCAGATCTAAATGCAAAACACCAGCAATGGGGAGCCAGATCCACAAATTCCCGAGGCGAACATTGCTATCTGCACTTAATTCCCATCGCAGCAACATCCTTTCACCTAATACACCCACATACTGGCCAACAGATCCCAACCGCAATCCCGACCTTCTAGACTTTTTCCTCCACAAAGGTCTAGGATCACTACACTGTTCTATTTCAAGGTTTGATGATCTTTCCTCAGACCATAGTCCTCTAGTCCTAACCGTTTCCACATCTCCCATTCCCAAATCATCCCCACCTTCATTTATCAGGGGGCCAGTTAACTGGAACCTTTTCCGTCAAATACTGGAAGATAATATTGACCTCAGAGTTTCCTTAAAAACACCTGAAGACCTCGACGATGCAGTGCATTCCTTCACTACCCTGATCCAGCAAGCAGCTTGGACTGCATCCTCACCTGATCGTCCCAAAAAATACCATAACATAAATCCTTTACCTCAAGATCTATTGGACCTAATCCATAGCAAACGTTGCTCTAGGACCCTTTGGCAAAGAACTAGGCATCCTGATGACCGGAAATCGTATAATTATTATTCCAAACA